GGCTCAGCAAGGATTCATCGGGGTCGTAGGGCGGTGCACAAATCTACAACCACAGCTCCAAGGCAACCTCACTACAGCCCCGGTGAAACCAACTTACAAATCCTCTCAACTTGCCTCTTCAAATCAAATGAAAGGTACTCCAACATAAAAAACTTCTTGTATTTGAATTGAGGATCTAGGGGAGGAGAGGCCTTGCGTCAGCCTTAAAAGTAAAACGAGTCATATAATTACTTTATTCATGTTTCTACAAATATAATTTTATATTTATTTATCTATTTATATATATTTTATTTCTTCGGTTATTTGTTAAATTTTAATTTCATATCTTTTATATAGATTTAATTTTGATCTTATCACCAATGGCTTAAGGCTATGAACATAAAAAGTCATTAAATCTCGATATAAAATCGTGCCCATACATATAAGCTTTACGAGTGCACTGAAATTTATTTTGTATAATAATATGTAGCAGATAGGGAGGAATATGTTCATTTTTTGTCTCTAGTACGTTTTAATTAGCTAAAGAAATGAGCCTAAGATCTGACGATTTGTACGTAAAAGCTGATAACGCATCAACTTTTATAAAACTGAACGAGAGAGTTTAGAGGAATAAGTGAACCTGAGCTTTTCTTAGACCCAATTACTAAGAGAAAAATAGGAATTTCCATTGAATTATTGTGATAGAGGCCTGCAAAACCTTTTGTTAGTTAAGTTACATGAAGTGCAAGCCAACTCAGTAATGATATATCAAATTTGTTGGGGCGACTTTGTTTCGTACGGAAAGTCATGATGATGGAGAAATTCCAAAGTTGATCCCACCAGAAGACGATGGCTGAATCCCAATGTACTGTAGCCGTTTGGCTTTACTACGACATTTGGGTTGGCGCAATCGGTTCGGGTGAAAACAGAATAAGCTTGCGTCCATCATATGATGAACATCCTCATAGCTGGAACTCATTCATGTAAAAGCACCAAGCTAACAAGATTGTCCAGATCCATCTTTCGTCTTATACACACGCAATACTAAAGGCGTAAAAATGTATAGACATAGATAGATATAAAATAATTTGTCTAAATTTCTTCAATATTGGTCATTGTGCTTTTTCTTGAGGATATTTGTGTGTGTGTGTATTAATGTTTATGCGCAATACCAGTCCCAAATCAGAGTGATTAAAAAAGCTTAATGACTGGCCAGAATATTACGCCACACACATAATTAAATGCAATTCGAAGAAGTCAAGATGTGAACACTAGGATAGGCTATATAATGCAGTTCTACACACAATTCGACATCTTCATGCTGTCGTGGTTGAATCCTTCTAATTGCTTTTAAAACTATGAAATAAGCACATTTTGATACTAAATGAATTGCTCTTAGATGCGACCAAAATTAGCACTCTAGAATATCTTATTACCGTTTCAATTAATCAAATGATTGCTAATGAAATAAAGGAATTTAAACAGAGCTGCACCATCAACCTTATGTGATATGAATATCTGCCAATGAAATTTTGCTGACAGAAGATGAATGACCTGGTTACAGACATAATGTAATGTTTGATTCCAATCATAGCAGTCTGCGAATTACACTTCCTCTGGGTTTACTTTTGCTTTGGCATTACTATGCACACTGAAAATAATTATTTATCCAACTTAGCTTGTTGTCAAATTTATTCGCCTACCGAATTCCGCTTGTAACGACGGTACCAGACTCGTATGCACTTGGAAAATGAAGAGTCGATAGGACATAATGGGGCCATTTCGCAGCTCAGGTGGACACCAAATTAGATGCGCCAGGTTGCGTGCCTTCCAGACCAGACGAAGCCTAGTTGGTAAGCCCGGTATGGCCTCTGGCGTCAGATGGAATAGGTTCTTCAAGACGTCACCACCCCCTCTTGCTCCATTTGGGGCCTGAGGTCGTACTGTTCTAGTAGACTTTGGGGCCCGAGTGAGGGTTGACTGTTGACTGTCAAATTGACTAGAAGATGGCCCGTGAGAAATTGGAGGAAAGACTAAGATTCGTGAGGCAGACTGAGTGGTGGCTGAAGGAGATGAAGATGGCAGGCTTTGCACTGCAGCTTCGAGGGTGATTGGCTCCAGGGCGAATCTGTAGGCAGAGTAGGGTCGAAGGACGCCTAAGGAAGAATGAGGAGAAGTAGATCCCAAAATAGGCCCATTGTGGGCCGATTGAATGGGCAGGCATAAACGAGTGCTGCTTGTGGTGAGAAACAGATTTGTCTTCGTGTGAATGAGAGCTGAGAAGAGGGCTGAACCAGTCGGCGTACTGGAGATGAGTTTCGTCAAGATGTCGATATCGCCGTATGAATAAATGGTGAACTGAACATTTAGAAAAGTTTGGCAGAGTTAATGCTTATTAGTATGGAAATTTCGTTATATATGTGTTTATATATATTTATGTATAAATTCATTTATTTATTTATATAGACAACTTCTCTCATGCCTTCCTACAAGTCAGTGTGAAGTAATTACTTAATGCAATGAATAGCATAGCAATGGAATTAGAAAAGAATAGCTATTTTCCCCTTTTGAAGGTATGAAAACCAAGATGGTGTGGCCTTTTGTGTGGTCGTAGTTTCCTTTCGTTGTATAGAGGTTTATTGACATTGTTTTCGCAACATTGTCATATTAGTAGGAAGACTTAGAGGAACGCACCCAGTCCGGGGTCTATTGTCTGCATGATCATTTCCAAAGTTGAACCGTGGACGTGGTACATTCCCAAACGTTGTCAAAGAGACAAGTGAAGCCGATCCTTTGACCAAACGTATGCCAAACAATTATGGTATCTCCCTTCTGCCCTGGGTTATTCGCGTTTCCGGTATCACCCTATCATTCCTTCACTATTACAATTTTTACCATGTTTATTTAGATATAATGTGGGGTGCTCTTTTGAGCGACATGACACCTTAACACCCCAACTGTCGTTTCACCCCCCCTTCAACCTTGTGCATGGAATGTTGATCAGAGTCTGTTTTATTATTATGCAGTCATCTTTCCTAGTCTTATCCCATTCTCCCTCTTGCTCTGTA